CAACATAGGCATTTGTCAAGAAAATATAAAGTGATTTCAGTTTAAATAAGAAAAAGTGGGAAGTTTCATCTGAGAATGACTTAATTAGTGGGCAATAATCCTTTTTTAATAATTGCACTCAACAATATTTACTTACATGTGTTATAGAAAAGAAAAAAAAAATGTCAAACACAAGATTTTGTTACTTGTGTTGCTTTCTTAATTAGGTTTAAATGATACATATTATGTCAACCCACACAAAGGGCAATCCTCTATGGATTATGTTGGGTAATTACTAAACATAGAAAGCAAAATTTTTAAATTTTAACTCATGGTACACTACCAAATTGTTTTATATATTTAGATACCGAAAATATACTTAACAATGATCAAATTACTCTTATTACAATAATATTACAAAAATTCAAGATTTAAGAAAGTAAATTAACTCTCAAAGTATCCATTAGCGATGTATTTAGATTTTAGAATGAATGGTTTGTTTGATGTTTAAAATTATAACGTAATTTTAGTCATGTTTATAAGATTTTCTTTAAAAAAAAAAAATGGCGTATTTTGTAAGGATGTACTCATCCGTATAGCCCCATCATTAATAAATTCACATAAAAAGGTTTGAAACTAACTTATTTGCAAAGAAATAAAACATGTTATATTGAATTTGAATTATTTCCACACTAGAAAAAGAATTAACAAATCTTCATAAGAAAAAGAGAAAAAAATAAAAATAAAAATAAAAATAAAATAAAAGCAACTAAAAAAACGATTCTTTTAATTTAAGCAGCAATCTTCTCTACAGTAAAAGTCATCTACAAACACCAAAAACAAATGTGCTTAGGATGTAAAACAAAATTTAAATGCACTTAATGCTGCTAAAATAAAATTAAGGATTTTAAATTTTGAAAAATAAGATAGATAGCTATGTATGAACAAAAAATAAAAACCTCAACCCCCTCAAAGCCTTCACTTATTCAATATTTGATTTCATATGTTAGTTGAGATGGGGCCAATACAGTTGTAGCCAATTTGGTTAAGTTATCCAGCTTGCTTAAGCTAATTTGAGGCCAAAAAGCTCAACCAAAAAACAATCCCATATTTTTATGTTCATGGTAGTAAATGCAATGTTATTAATTATTAGCAACTCAAAATAATGAAATAAAAAAAGCAAAAAAATAAAAAAAATACTTTCAGCTTAGTTATCTGATTGATTCAACTATCCTAGTTGTTTTCTAGTTGTAATTTTATTATTGTATATTAGTATAACTCTATCCTTAAAAGAAATGAAAAAGAAATGAAGAATTTATGAAGAGAATTGGACCTTATATCTGATAGGTTACTGTTTGTTTGGGACCAAAAGGGGCCAACTAACTGCACTTTAGTTGGGTCACGTATGCTATTTGCTAAATTCATGCCCTCAAGCTTAAAATGCTTAGGTAGTGGTTTGGATATAAGTTGTAATTGGATTTTTTATATCGCAACTCAAATTTAATTGAAATTAACTCAACTTCAATACTTCTCAATATTATCAATATAATTAAATAATAACAATCAATCATCTTTACACTTCATATTAACTTTAATTTACTATTCATCTACTCAAATAATTTGAATTACATATCATTTCCAATCACTTCTCTTTTACTTTTACAACAAATCAATTTTAATCTATTTATTTTAAAATAAAAATAATGATGTGATAATTACTTGAAATTTTAAAATAAATCTTCATTTTTATATTATTTTTCAATTAACACCTCCATTTGCTAACTATAATTAAACAAAATGTTAAATAACGATTCCGAAATTTTTTCATTTTCAATTTCCACTTCGTGAGCAGTATGTAGTTACGTTCAAATCGGGGAAGATTATGACATCCATGCAAGTCTTGCCTTCTACATTATTATTAATTAAATTAATATATGATATATGTTCCCAATATCATCACGTCTATTCGTCTAATAAACTAATCACACAATTAATATCATCATAAGCCAATAATCAGTCTGAGCTATGAACGCCGAGCTTAACACAGTAATCTCTTGATCTTATCATCCTAGTCATTTTGGATAAGCTTTATTTTTTCTTTTCAATTATTCATTTTTAGGCTACATTTTTATTCACATCAATCTTCAATTCCACCTTTATTTCGGAAAAATGAAAGTGACGTGGAAATATTGACAAGCATCAATCAAAAAAAGTTTCATACTTGAAATTCGATTGCGAAAAGAAAACAGCATGAATCAAAATATACCCACCTATTATTACATACCGTCCCTCCTTGGACAATTTTGCCTCTAACATTTTTT